TTTGAGGTTCGGAAAGTTGTCTCTGCTGCTGCTGCTGCTCCTGCTGCTGCCCCTGCTGCTGCTCTGGTTGGGCGTCCTCGTCTGATGACGACTCCGATGAGTCCTCCTCAAAATCGCTGGGGTGCGCGGCCCCGGTGATCTCGACATCCTTGGGCGGTGGGTTGACTGGGTCTTGCGGGGGCTGGTCGCGACCTGGCTCCGCGATCTTGCGGCCCTTGGAATCGACATAGGCGGCCGGGTCGTCGCCAAACGCACCGCTCCAGTCGTTTCCCTGCTTGTCGATCCAGCGCTTGCGCTCTCTGGGGTGGCTTTGTTTCAACACGTCGCGGCCGGCTCTAAGGGATTGCTCGTGGAGTTTCTCGACGTCCTCGGGGATCTCGGCGGTGACTCTGTGAGGCCGCACGCCTTCCGCCATGCAGGCTTCCCATGTTTCAAAGGTCTCGCGGGAATTGCTGTCTACCACGTATTGCTCGTGGGAGTCATCGATACCGGGGGTGAAGAGACCCCGAAGCTGCAGACGACCAATTTGTTGGAGGTCTTCCAGGCCTGGTACTTCCTTCGCTTTCCAGTTTTCCTCAGTGATGTAGTTCTGGGTGAGTCGGCGTCCACCCTTTGTCGACCAAATAGGTAGGTCGATTTCGGTCTCCTCGTTATCCACGAGGTGTTGCAGCCAGAGAACCGCGTAACCCGCAGCTCCGTGTTTGCCCTGCGTGTGCACCTCGAATACGACTGGGGATCGATAGCGATGCTTCACCGGAAGTCGGATGCTCCGACGGAAGTCTTCATTAGTCAGGTCGTAGTATGAGTCGTTCCCCTCGATATGGCACTGGCCACGCGGGATCTTTCCACTGCTTCCACCGGTGCGCAGTTTGATCTTAGCCCGATGGTTGAAACCTTGCAGCGTAAGCTTGTCCGACACAAAGTGAAACGTTCCCACATCCCACCCGAGCATGTTGGGGGGGAGCTTCGTTTCGACGTGCCGGAACAGTAGCGAGATACGAATCCGTCCGAAGCCAATACCGCCATCGAGAGGGTACCATCTGGTGACTTGTGAGGAGTTCTGGAAGAGGTCGGTAAGTTTCAGTTGCACGATGCCCAGGATTGGATCGTGCTCCCGATATCGTTGGTCCCTGACGGTCACGGTGACCATTGCTGAACGCCAATCGCGGACGAATCGCTCGGTACCAGCGTTGAATATGGGCTTGGAGCTGAGTGCTTTGGCTCGGGTCCGGTATACCTACGCGAGACGTTAGCTATTGTTTATTTTAGAAGCGCCAGGAAGCACTCACCAGCTCATCATTGAGCATAATCTTGCAATAGCTGGAGGGCAATTCTTTGCCTTCCTCTTCAGTGCTTTCGCCGTAACTCTTTGCCGGCTCGTACTCCCTTCCCTTTCGAGAACCGCTAGTACCTGTAATATTGGCAAGTTGCAGGTGCACGATTTGATGAACCACAACGCTCAGGATACCGCTAGGCCACAACGGATCGGGTGGCGTATGCGTGATCGCATCTTCTTCTTCAGTAATGATAGTGCCCTTCTCGTCCTGAAACTCGGGGATGTTTTGGAGATTCTCCGGAAGGTCTTTCTTCTTGCCATCCGTTCTCAGCTCCGGCCTTAACTTCGGCTTTCCAAAGAACCCAACTTCCCAATGCAGCTCACCGGGCATCTCGCTACCATCGTTCAGACCCTGGAGCTTGGAGACTTGGGGATACATGCGGCCTGGGTGCGCCAGCAACTCTCGGATGGGCAGCTCCACTTTGCCGACAATGTCGTCGGCCGTGTTACGATCCGAGTCCCACAGCTCAACGCTGAGGTTCTCATCCGCCTTGATTAGTTCCGGAGTGACAAGCAAAGCTGCAGTCTCTTCCCAGATCGGATTCAGATCATCTGTAATCACTCGCGTGCAGTACATAGGTTTGCCGTATTTGGAGAAGGAAAGATTAATATAAGGATCACTTCCGCCACCATGGCTGCCACGCTTATCCTGCTTGCTCAGTCCAACGGCACGGTGGATCCGAACCCACATCACACCGATAGCCTGGGTTTCCTTGATGATATCGTCACCCTTGAGGATCATGCCCAGGTCCATGGTCATTGATTTGGGTGCAGCGAAAAGGCTGCAGGCGGTGCCGATGGCATAGTTGACGAAGTTGGAGAGCAGCGGTAGATTTAGGATATTGATACCATGTCTCACCATCGGCATGCACCCGGCTCTAATATGCGGAATGCCAACAAGACTGTAGGTAACCTCCTTCATAAAAGGGGCTTCTGGCATCATCTGCAGTCTCAAGCGTACAGTTCCAACCATCTCAATCAATTCCACAAACACCGGGAAAGGCACTCCGAATAGACCTGGGATTCCCAGGAAGAATATAACCTGCATATGCATGTTACGTGCTTTGGAGGAAGCACTTTGCCCACTCGGCTTTGCATGGTATGCAAAAGAAGCTTCAAGATTGTAGTAGCTGCCACCCTCTTCAGCAGCTGCTGCCTCCTGAGGATCCTTGTTTTTCTTGTTCTCCTCGCGGATATTGTCTTTCAGTTGCTGCACATGCTCGTCTGGAAGAGCCCGCATGCTCAGAATTCGTATAGGGTTGTTTCCTTGGTCGATTTCAGCGATACGGACGTTCTCCACCACACCTGGCGCAGAAGCTTGCATGATGTCCTCGATAGTATCGGCTATGGGGGCCAACATATCGGGGTTCAGCAGGCCCCAGACGACGTCGAGGAAAGAATTCATCCATTCGACAGACTCCGGCAACAAGTTGGCGGTAGCCTGGTCGGCTTGGTTTAGTCAATGTTCCTTAAACATGTACAGAACGAAGAACCTTACAGTTTGCCCTCGTAGCTGTTCACTGCTCCATTCCATTTCACGACCACTCCGGATGACCTCTTTCATCCACAACCAGATCCCAGTTGTGGTGCAACAAGCCAAGGGTATGAGACCCCATAGCGAACCACCAAAAAGACGACCGAGGAAGAGTATACCAAGAAAAAGACCCAAGCAGACTCCGGCCGCGCGCTTTTCCAACTGATCAAACATAGGCTTGTAGGAAATCGTCGGTGTAGGGTGAAACAGAATGTTTGTTTTCTCGCCGTGGAGCGGCACGTCGGATGTGGTGCCTTCAGCGATGGGATCAGGTGGTGCAGTCACATCCTGGTTCTCTTTGTATTCGGACAGGTTCTGGCACGTATCGGTTTTGACTTCCTTTGTCGCGGACGTCAGACACAATCCGGCATAACTATACTCCAAGGACTTACTGTTGGCTTTCCCAGGTTGGCATTGGGGACGACTAACTAGAATATAATTTAGCAGAAGCTCCCTTTCGCGTCGCATGAAGCGGTCAAAGTACCTTGGGATCTTTCACGGTATCCATTGAGTGTTCGTCCTGGTCCTCTACCTCCATATCTTTGCCGGTAACCGGGTCTCTCACCTTCCGAGTCTTACCCTTGGCCTTCTTGCGCGGTTGATGGGGACTAGCACCACCTTCGGCCTGTCGTTCTCTGGCTGTCTGGGCCTCCCCATATTCCTTCTTTTCCTGTTCTTCACTCCTGAGACGCTCCATAAACTTAGAAATCGTCGGAACGGGATTGGTCCCGCTCCAATGTTCTCCTACTTGATGTTGCTGTGGGGAAGTAGACCCCTTGCTATTAGGATGAGGCCCCATTTCGAGCGCCAGTCAAGTCTTGAGTGAACTGGGGAAGTGAAGAAAGACCTTTATGAGCTGTAGTATAAATAGCAAAGGAAGCTCTCATCCCATTCAAATTGAGTTTGAGGAGTTCTGGATAATGGGTATACAAACAAGACTGAAGTTGACACGAGAGACTCGCGTGAGATCCTCAATGGCAGTTTCTGCCAGTGATAGTATGGACATCGGAAAAGAAGACAAGAATTGACTGGAAAAAGCATCTCGAAGAGTGAAATAGTCCTGTAGAGAGTGGTACAACGAGAGCTGACCTTACGCTCGTAGAACTACGTCATTGTGGAGGGAGGGAACCAAAACAGCTACCAATTGTCTGGACGCGTCCAAGGCTGATCCGTGACACAAGAGGTCATTGTCCTATGATCTACGGAGATCCCTGACATCTTGCCTTAAGAGTGCCGAGAGCTCCAGCTGGCGAGTCAGCGTGTAGATGTAAACTGTGGAGTGATGCGGTGACCTGCTGTAGACTTGGAATCTGGCTGTAGCTAGTAGGTCACTGATGCGGTGATGTCACCATTGTGCATGACACAAATTGGAACATGCCTTACTATTTGTCCTTAGGATGGCATGAGCTTGTGAACTGTCGTAAAATTTGCAATTCTACTTTGAATTGTGCCAGTCTTTGCTAATATATTAAAGGGGGATGTGATATATATATTTGTACCTCTCGTATAGTTTGGCCATCACCCGTAGCTAGAGTATGCAGGTGCAATTACTTAGAACTCAAACTGAATGTACCATGTATGCCTCTAACAGTATAGGTATAAATTTGTAATTCATGTACTTATCTTGTTTATTTATACGCGTTGGAGTTTGGTCTGATGTTCATGGCCTGTGCCTGAAGATATGACCACTGCAAGGTCACTGAGAAATTGACATAGCAAGCTTGTAATGAAGCAAAAACAAATAGATATTCCTTAATATAATAATGCCAGTTCTATACACTTAAGTAGTGTTGATTGCAGAGGCTATTGGCATTAAGGTACAGCGCAATTCTGCACTTGTCCACATGTAGGTCTCAGAGATGCTAAACTGCGCCACAGCGGCGGATAATTGACAACCTTGTCGTGTCAGTGCTAAATGTCAATCCACACTGGCACACAATAGGTGGGCAGCTTTTCCTAACCTAACCACCCATCAAGCTCCCGCTCTTTTTGAAGTTGCAGTTGGGAACCCAGAGCTTTATTCTGCAAATCACAATACCTCCCTTGTCGCGGTAGATCGCTCGAAAACATCCGCCACGCCTCAGCATCGGCACATCTTCAACAGCCATCGCCGAAATTCACAGCCTGAATATGTCATCTACAGAAGAGTCGCCCGCTCAACGAGCAGCCAGGCTGCGTCGTGAGCGCCGTGAGGCCAAAATCCGGGAAGGTGGTGCAGCACGCTTGGACAAGATTACAAGCTTAAGCGGACGGACACCGCAAAGTTGTACGAAGTTTTAAAGCCTTGCTTTCTCGTCAGCGTTCCTTACTGATTCATCTTGCAACTGCCAGCTCGCGAAGAATCGTTCTCTGCCCCGTCACTCTCGCCTTCACCCTCACCCCAGCCTCCTGCGCCTGTCTCCGTCCCCGAAACAGGGGCACCCCGTCAAACACACCCGGCGCCCGTTCGACCAACAGCTAGCGTCGAGGAGGAGACCCCAGAAGACCTCCAAGCACAACAGGAGTATATCCGGGCCCTCCTGCGCCAAAACGCACCGCCTGCAGCACAGGAAGGCCCCGATGAAGACCCCACGATGAAACTGCTCAACTCCCTCATGGCGGGTGGGATGCCAGGACTGGACCAAGGCACAGGCGGCGGCGGCGGCGGCGGCGCCGGACCCGGAGTCTCGCAAGCAGAACTAGCATCCGCCCTTGGCCTGCCGCCATTCGTCTCGAGCATGCTCGGCGCAGCGACACGACCCAAGACGGACCAGGAGAAGCGGGAGATCTGGACGTGGAAGGTGCTTCATGTGCTCTTCGCCGTCGTCATGGGGGTCTACTTCCTCGTGGTTATCAGCGCGTCTGTCGCGACCTACGGAAGCCAGCCGCCGCCTCCTGCGACAGCCCGGAACCCGTTCGTTCTCTTCACGACAGGGGAGATGGTGCTGAGCGGGGCGAGGATAATGCTAAGGAGTAGGGGCGGGGGGCTGGCTGGGCCTGGGATGTGGATTCAGTTGTTCAGGGATGTTATCCAGGATGGCAGTATAGTGCTATTCTTTCTTGGAATGAGCGCTTGGTGGCATCGAGATTGGCTGGCTTCTTAGATAGCCACGGCCTGGTTGAGTCGAGGGGCTCGGTCCTCATTGACTAGTGGGTTTGAATTATTCCGCAGCTTACGAATGCATCGAAACAGGCTCAAGTGTTTCCCTTGTGCATGATGATTTAATTACGGATTTTATTGAGCTACTGAGCTGGGGGCAGTCTGTCAAGAATAAACACCTCCTATCTAATGCCTTACTGCACAAGAGTGCTTCGCATTCAATGCCCTGTGATAGCCAGCGACACTGGTACTTGTCCATGGAGCGGTGGGCTACAGCAATAATAATTTCGCCTCAACTTACCTTGTCCTGGATAACAATATACGAGTATTTCTGCAAGCTCAATTTATAAGCACCCAAATCTATCATAATTTCTAACGTCTACGGAGTAGCCGTTGATCGATTTCCTTGTCTGCCAAGTGACCAGCAAAGAGCAGGTGTCTCGACAAGTCCGCGTATCACTACTAGTCAACTAGAGCCCCAGAGGTTAAGATCAACAAGGATAGCGTCAGGTTAGCTCGCGTTGGGTGAGTGGAATAATTGCATTATTGAAGCGCGCCAGGTGTTTATCATTTGTCTTCGGCGGCCGAGCTGTGAACATACCTGGACTAATGTAAAAACGACTGGGGACCAGGGACGAGAAAATAATACGCCTGATTGCTCGTAGGAGCAGTGCAAATTTCTTTCCCCCCAAAGGCCAGTGACAATTTGATTAAATGTTGATCTGACGCCGGCGCATCTGCTAAAGCAATCGCGGTAGATTGCTGTCAAGGATTAGGTGGGGGAAAATTGTCGCGAGTACGTATTCCTAATTGTACGGCTATGTACGGAGTAGAGTGGTACTCATTTCCGTACCGTACTTTTAAATCTTTTGGACGGACCGTGCCTGGACTGCGCGGAAGAGCGTTAACGTGAGGTACCTGCTTTGGGATAATGGAAGCAGTCGGCTCTCTGATCCAGTGTATGGCAAGGTATCATGGGATACGTATCATTGGTCCCATGTCTTAGGGACGTAACATCGCCAGGATGCCAGTCCCATACACTGACAGACAAGCCAGGGGAAGGAGGGTGCATTAGAGGCTCTCTAAGACTGCAACGTGGGCGAGCTAAAGCATCTAACGAGGGTCCGTCAGGTCCATACTAGACATGCCGGAAGGAGGCTAACGCAACCGAGTTGTCTCGAAATCAAAATGGTGTCCACCACAAGAGATGGTTGACCTCCTAGGACTACTTGAGAACTGAGGTGAACAGGATGAAAGGAAAACAAGCAGATATATCCATGCCGAATCACAAACGACCTACGGAGTATATACCGTAACCTCGGTCCTAAGCAGTACATGACATTGTGTACCCTTGGACTGATGCCCGGGCTTCCGTGCGACCGTATTCAATTCAGCCGAGCGGAAAGATCTATTTCATAAGCAAAGTCATAGCCGAGATGATAATATTCGTGTTTGTCAGTCTCTCACTCCAATTTGCGAAGAAGTCCAAATGAACAATCTTTAGCCCGAGGAGTCTAGGAGGGGAACACATCTTCCCCGCCGTTCATGCTTGATCATTTTTGATGCCCGGTTCAAGCCGCCAAGAAGACCATGACAAGCACCAATCCGTCAGTCTTTGTAAGGAAACTTCATTTTCATCATGTTGGTGTAGAGCTACAGAGGTCTAGAGTTGATCAACTTGGTAAGTACAACCAGTCGTGCTGCTAGGGAAGTAGGTAGACTCCTAGCGTTACCTAACTAACAGGAACAGACTATCTCTACCTGAACAGTAACATCCACTGGCCCCGCCTGCTCGTTGATTCTCCTAGCTGCATGGCCTAAATGGCCTTGTCTGTTAGGTATTCGAGGGAATCAAATCTCATTCTGGAATAGAATTGAACGTTGCCACCGATAGAAATAGTCTAGAGTATTAGAAGAAATATCTAGACGGAACTATCATTCTATCTATATGTCTAATTGCCAATGTGGATTGACACGACCGAAAGCACAAAATCCCAAAGTAGTAGTAAACTTTATGGCTCGCCCCGCATGCTTACGGCGTTACAACCTGAGTGTATTGATGACATTTACGAGATTCGACTAAGTGTGCTTAGGTACTACAAAGGGTAAGGTTAGTTCCATTAGGAATCCAGTCCGAAGATCATCAGTCGAACGTAGATACTGGGTATCTACCCCTCCAAGTTACTTAGTTCCATTGATCGTGGATTGACCTGCCTCTTTGGCCATCAAATAGCAGGTATGCTCAAGGATTCGCAAACATACTAATGGGACCTGTTCACTGGACTCACCAACCTAAGATGGTGATATGACAAGCATATCCGTATGATAACAACTGTGGCGGGGTAGCTACCTCATGTATCCCAAGGTAGGTAGGCACGTAGGGACCGCCAAGCGACATGAACCAATAAGCTGCACTTACAGGAGTTCTCCAGCTATTCTTATTGTGCAATACTTGTAGCTAGAGGGCTGTTTCCGTCTTGGACTACCCAGAAACCATCCCACCCTCCAAATTCCTTCCCCGGAGCAACGGAACGATCACCTGTCAAGCCCCGCATGGCCGAGCCCAATTTTTGGATGCGTCCGGGCCAGTGCGTGTCGAAACCTGGAGACTCGGGAGAGCACTTCGTAGCTAGCTAGCTTTGAGTAGACAAAATTATTGTAACTACCATCAGTGTTAGTTGAGGGGGACAAAATGGATTTGGAATGTGCCCTTGCTATTATGGAGAGAAGCTATAGACCTATTCATTCACATCGATCGTCTGTTCTGTTGTCACTGTCAACGCGGTCGCCCGGAAGGAGATGTATTCTCCCCCAAGTTCCAACTCCCATGGCCGTAGAAGTCGTATGGATCCTTGGCGTGAATCCGACCTATTATCTTAGACTCCGTAGACTGATCAAATGCATCTAATCCTTAGACAGGAGTAACAAACATTAGGGACAAACCATTCGTCGTCTCCACCGACCACCGGACAGCCGGGCAGCGGGACCTCAACACTATCCTCTTTAGCGTCTCTCTCACCAAACAGTAGTACTGAACGGCTAATAGATATAACGGCCTGGCCTTCCCGTCTTCTCTGTACTTTCTTTTCTATCATTTCCCTCGTCTCCCTTCTTCTCCTCATCCTAATCTCTCCCCTCTTACATTTACCCTCGTGTCGAAGGTGGCCCATATCGTACTCTCGAGTAGAGTGATACGTTACCACCTTACTGCTACTCCCCCTCGCTACCTTAGCTCTCTCTCTCTCTCTACGGTAGGTACCTAGCATCGGCTCAGCTTTACCCCACCAAAAGCAAGTAGCCCCTCGGCTGCACTACTCCTGTCTAACTGCGTTGCAATTACTTAGCTTAATTTTCCTTGTTCTAACTCACGTGCATTTGCATGCTTCCGGTGCTCACAAAAGCTGACCCCCGCATCTTTAGCATCATTTCTCAACCAACTCAGCTTTCTACACTTCTTTTCTTCTGAACTTTTCAAATTTCAATCAGTTGAAGTTCAGCCATATTACTCGAGAGCTCGCGAACATGTCTGACGGCGACGTTAAGCCCCCAAAGCCGGCCGTGGTGAGCAATTTTCCTTCGGATTCCTCTCGGGAGTTTTTCGGCCTGTGGGCTAATAACATTTGTTTAGGTGCTCGAGGCCCACGAAGTCGACACTTTTCACGTCCCCAAGGCATTCTATGAGAAGCACCCTTCAAAGACTCATCTGAAGGATTTGGACGACTACAAGAAACTATACGACGAGTCTATCCGTAGCCCTGACACCTTCTGGGCCCGCATGGCCCGTGAGCTGCTCAGTTTCGAGCAAGACTTCCAAACCACCCACGTCGGCTCCCTCGAGAATGGTGACAATGCCTGGTTCGTCGAAGGTCGCTTGAATGCCTCGTTCAACTGTGTGGATCGTCATGCCATCAAAAACCCTAACAAGGTCGCGATCATCTACGAGGCCGACGAGCCTAATGAGGGCCGTATCATTACCTACGGCGAGCTCCTCCGCGAAGTCTCCCGCGTTGCCTGGGTCCTGAAGCAACACGGTGTCAAGAAGGGTGACACTGTCGCTATCTACCTTCCCATGATTCCTGAAGCCGTTGTGGCCTTCCTCGCCTGTGCCCGTATCGGTGCCGTACACTCCGTTGTCTTCGCTGGTTTCTCCTCGGACTCCCTTCGTGATCGTGTCCTCGATGCCGGATCCAAGGTCGTTATCACCACAGACGAGGGTAAGCGTGGTGGCAAGGTGATTGGCACCAAGCGCATTGTCGATGAGGCCCTCAAGCAGTGCCCTGAGGTTACCAGTGTGCTGGTCTACAAGCGTACTGGTGCTGAGGTTCCCTGGACCAAAGGCCGTGACATTTGGTGGCACGAGGAGGTGGAGAAGTATCCCTCCTATCTCGCTCCTGAGTCGATGAACTCCGAGGACCCTCTTTTCCTCCTCTACACCTCCGGTTCCACCGGTAAGCCCAAGGGTGTCATGCACACTACTGCCGGCTACCTCCTTGGTGCCGCGATGACCGGCAAGTACGTCTTTGACATCCATGACGATGATCGCTTCTTCTGCGGCGGTGACGTTGGTTGGATCACCGGACACACCTACGTCGTATATGCGCCTCTTCTTCTTGGTTGCTCTACTGTCGTTTTCGAAAGTACTCCCGCCTACCCCAACTTCTCCCGCTACTGGGATGTCATCGAGAAGCACAAAGTCACTCAGTTCTATGTCGCCCCCACAGCTCTGCGTCTGCTGAAGCGTGCCGGTGATGAGCACATCCACCACAAGATGGAGCACCTGCGTATCCTGGGCTCCGTCGGTGAACCAATTGCCGCTGAGGTCTGGAAGTGGTACTTCGAGAAGGTCGGAAAGGAGGAAGCTCACATTTGCGACGTAAGGACTCCCAGACTCCCTTTCTAAACCCCCTACTCTGCGACTAATGCTTGAAACAGACATACTGGCAAACCGAGACCGGCTCCCATGTCATCACTCCCCTCGGTGGAATTACTCCCACCAAGCCAGGCAGTGCATCCTTGCCCTTCTTCGGCATTGAGCCCGCTATCATCGACCCCGTTTCCGGCGAGGAGATTTCTGGTAATGATGTCGAGGGTGTTCTTGCTTTCAAGCAGGCCTGGCCCAGCATGGCCCGGACCGTGTGGGGTGCCCACAAGCGCTATATGGACACTTACCTGAACGTCTACAAGGGCTACTACGTAAGATACTTCATTCGCTTGATCTCTGCAAGGACATTTGGCTGACTGTATTGTTCTAGTTCACTGGAGATGGCGCTGGCCGTGACCACGACGGATACTATTGGATTCGCGGTCGTGTCGACGACGTGGTCAACGTCTCTGGACACCGTTTGTCTACTGCCGAGATTGAGGCCGCTCTTCTTGAACACCGTAAGTAGCATTGCAGAATCCGATGCGACTGTCGCAAACTAATTGTCGCTACAGACCAGGTTGCCGAAGCTGCAGTTGTCGGTATTGCCGATGAGCTCACTGGCCAAGCTGTCAACGCCTTCGTTTCTCTCAAGGAGGGCAACGAAACCACCGAGCAAGTTCGCAAGGATCTTGTGATGCAGGTTCGGAAGTCAATCGGACCATTTGCCGCACCCAAGGCGGTTTACGTCGTAGACGACCTCCCCAAGACTCGCAGTGGCAAGATTATGCGCCGTATCCTACGGAAGATTCTGAGCGGTGAAGAAGATAGCTTGGGTGATACCTCGACCGTGAGTTGCTTGGCCTATATTTGATTACTATCTGTTGCTGACCGAAGCCTAGTTGTCGGATCCTTCCGTGGTCGACAAGATCATTGAGACTGTTCATGCTGCCCGAGCCAACTAGATTTGAATGATGACACGACTATCGATGACAGAAGAGACATGATCCAAAGAAGCGTTTGGAAAACAAAATGAATCAAAGGAAGGGGACTTTTTAGCATGTTGCGCTGATGTTTCAACCCAGGATTGTCAGGAAGCAGAGCCGTCTTTTCTTATACCGTGATTCCCTGTTGTGCCCACTTTGAAATTTGGCGTATAATTTAGCCATAGTCATTTTATCTATATATACTACACAACTTCGAATGTTCCGGTGCGCCTTGTAGGGAATGGAGCCTGTTGTCCGCCTCTTCCACTATAAATGGGAACCGACTGGACAGAGAAGAACGCTAAACGGAATTGTCACGGTAGGCTTTGCCGCCAGTACCTCATGGGCATCAACAATGTCTCGTTCTAGAAATTATGCGATTGTTTCTTGATCCCCAAATAGTAAACGGAGTATGAATGACCAGTATGAGCAATATAGGGTTGTGAAACGAACATATCGAGTCACTTCATCACAGCGAATGACGAGAAATGGAAACCAGTGTGGCGCTCCACATTATTTTCGACGGAATTATGTAGTCCAAAGGCGACGATGGCCCTATTGATTAGACAGGTTTTCTGTGCTGTATCGGGTCGTCTGTTCACATTATCCATTCATCTATTGTGGAGTGCAGTAATCCGCCAGAGATGCCTGGAAACTACTCCCTCTGATGCTGCCCGCCTGATCAGGCACCTATGGTCACATGACAGTCGGTCGACAACGCTCCCCAGTAAAAGTTCCGCCGTTGAATGGGGTATTAATAAGGGAAACCCACCATGGGAGCAACTACTACAAAAGCACAATCACTTTTCTCCTGTTCACTTTCCTAGTTCAGATACCTTAGTAGCGAGTAGTGAGTAGTGAATAGTCCTCCAGGCCCAAACATATCTACAAAGTACCTTGAACTACTACAGTACCTTAGGTGACCAAGGTGCCTCGGAGGCTAAACCGCAACAGGCAATCCACTGAACTCTCCCATCTCACTTCGCTCTGGGGCAGCTTTCTTCCTCTTTTTCTTGATCTCTGCGCGTCACTTCTTCCCTTCCACCCCCCGTCCTCTTTGCCATCTTTCCTAACCCCATTGCCACCATCTCTTTAGATTCTTCGCTCTCTGGCTTTGACGGTCCTTTACAATCCGTCTTAAGCTAGGGTTGACTATTTCGCCCCTATAAAAAGCAGAGCCAGCGATCCGAGAGAAAAGCTAAAACAAACACAAACTCTTGTGAGCTTCCCTCTTGCGCGTCGAAGCCACTCTGACTCGCAAGTTTTCTTTCGAACTTTGACTTCGTGCGAAGGCGTCGCGATAGGTCACCTTTCTAACAGTTTATTCACATTCAGCACCTCTAATAACTCGGTCAACGATCGCTCTTGGCTTCTCAACTTATGAATTCTTAATCCTCAAAGAACGTCGTCAATCATCATGTCTTTCGGTGGCTTCGGAGGATTTGGACAAAACACCCAGCAGAGCTCTGGCTTCGGCGCCGGCTCTGGCTTTGGTGGTACAACTTCTGGAGGAGGTAGGTCTCATGATCCATCATCATGTTTCGATATCACCCATATCTCGCCCATCGTTCATAATTTGTTTGTCGTGCCTCGTTTGCTTTGGATCTCAGTCCAGGACTATGCTGGTGCCTCTGATGTCGACCCGCGACGGTCTCTCACAACCACTGGATCTCGCCACCACCCCGCGGATGACTCGCGACGAAGGGCGACGCAGTAGCCACAAGAGAAGGAATCGCAGCTTGACTACAGTCTCTGACCGCATCTTCCCCGTCATCTAGGCTTTGGATCCACCTCGTCCCCTTTTGGTGGCGGTAACACATCAGGCGGTAGCCTGTTTGGAAACACCTCCAGTAGCTTTGGTTCCGGCGGAGGTAGGTGCACAATGACGATGTTCATCAGCTTAGCGGTTCTTCTCTTCTCTGCGTCCCATCCTTGGACAGATCCCGGGGTTCTGCGCGCCTTTGGTTGGAGGAGTCTCGCAGTTATAAAGTGAACTGCGACCGTAGTTGCGTTACATACCAGTTGACCCAGTACTCAAGGGTCCAGGTCGCGGACTCTCCACTTCCGGAATACTTGATATGGTCCGCGCGTGTTGAGTTGTCCGGGAATATTGCCTCCAAGGCTTACATGGGATCCCTGTCCGAGGGCGGACTCTTTCAATCATTGATGCTTTGCCATTTTTTTTCTCAAAAAGACCCTCATCTTCAGCTACTAACACGGGATTTTATTTCTAGGCTTTGGAGCAAATACACAAACCCAACAGAACTCGCTATTCGGCAGCCAAAATCGCACTGGCGGTTTTGGCACTGGTACAACATCTGGTGGTAGTCTCTTCGGCGGCGGAACTTCCACCACAGGCGCTACTGGATTTGGTGGCTTCGGTTCGACGGGAACTACAGGAACGACTGGAGGCTTTGGAAGCACTGGAACAACTGGTGGTGGACTGTTCGGCAACAAGCCTGCTGGCGGCTTTGGCACCACCACCACCCCCCCCACTACCGGTACTACTGGTGGCTTTGGAACAGGAGGCGGTTTCGGAGGCGCTGCTGGCTTTGGTGGCACAGGAACCGCTTTTCAACAGGCAGTGCCTCCCTGTGAAGGCACTGGTAGCACTCCATTCAGCCCGTTCTCGGAGAAGGATAGCAGTTCCAATGTGACCAACCACTATCAAAGCATCTCTTTCCAGCAACCATACAGCAAATATTCCTTCGAGGAGCTGCGATTGGGCGACTATAACCAGGGTCGCCGGTTCGGAAACGGAAGTGGACAGGCCGGTGCTTTTGGAACCTCAGCCTTCGGTGGATCCGGTTTCGGAGCTCAACCGTCCACTGGATTTGGCAGTACGTCTTCGCCATTTGGCGCCGGCACCAGCGCGCCCTCCGCATTTGGCGCGACCCAGACCACTGGCGGATTTGGCTCTACCTCCACTAACCCTCTGTTTGGAGCCGCCAAACCAGCAACCTCCCTCTTCGGAGGAGGAACCTCCACAACGTCTCAGCCTAGCCTGTTCGGCGGTGCCACTGCCACGACTGGCGGCTTTGGTTCCACGCCAACTGGAACAACTGGAACAACTGGATTTGGAACGGGAACAGGAGCGGGAGGCTCGTTATTCGGCGGCAACACTCAACAGCAAGCTAAGCCTTTGTTTGGCGGAGGTGCAGGCACCGCTACAACTGGTACCGGCACCGCGTTCGGCGGATTCGGCGCGCAAAATACCAGCACGGCCAGTCCGTTCGGTGGTACTGCCGCAACCTCCTCTCCATTTGGCGGTCAGCAGCAGACCGGTGGTACGGGCGCGTTTGGTGGGTTCGGTCAGCAAAACCAGGCTCAGAACCAGACGCAGAACAAGGGGTTATTTGGCGGTTTCGGCGCGACCACCCAACAGCAGCAGCCTTCTGGCACTGGCCTCTTTGGTGGCGGTACAGCTGGTACTACGGGTACTTCCCTCTTCGGTCAGAATGCTCAACAGCCTCAGCAGCAGACCACAGGTGGTGGGCTTTTCGGAGGTAATACTCAGCAAACTGGAACAAGTTCACTTTTCGGTGGAAGTCAGCAGCAGGGCCAAAAGAGCCTGTTTGGCGCGGGAACATCTGGCACTGGCACAGGCACTAGCGCATTCGGAGGTTTTGGAGGAACCCAGAATCAACAGACGGGTACAGGCGGTCTGTTTGGTGGTGGCCAAGCTCAGCAGCAACAGAAGCCGAGCCTCTTCGGCGGCGCCACTGGTACCGGTAGCTCTCTGTTTGGGGGCCAAGGTACAACTGGCCAGACCACGGGTTCTTCGCTCTTCGGCAACACTCAAGGCCAACAACAACAAACTGGCCTCGGCACCAGTGGCCTCTTCGGTACAACTCAACAGGCACAACCCCTGCAACAGCAGCAGGCACAGCAGCCTGTTCCTGGAAGTCTGCAGGCTTCTTTGCTCGATGGCAATCCGTATGGCAACCAGTCCATCTTCTCCGGCTTGCCTGCTCCTAGTGCCCCAAGCCCTGGCCCCCTGGCCACACCGCTCTCTTCGTCAATCAAGCAAAAGCAGCGCACTCCACTGCCCGTCTACAAGATTACGCCAACTGCAGCGAATCGCCTTATCACACCCCCAAAGCGCCAGGGATACGGATTTTCCTACTCCACTTACGGATCACCCTCCAGCACTACTAGCACCCCTACTGGCCTGGGAAGCAGTCTCTTAGGCGGCAGCCTTCGCGGGAGTGTTGGTGGCAGCCTTGGAAGGGGTAGCTTCAGCAAGAGCTTCTCGACAAGCAACCTACGCAAGACTTTCGACCCAGAGACTGACAGTGTCTTGTCCCCCGGTGCGCTTTCTGGTACTTCTCGCTTGTCCAGTGGAAGCCTGAAGCGCTTGACCATCGATCGGTCCTTGCGCAACGACCTGTTCGCACGTCCCGCAAGCACTGCTGCTGCGCCGATCACTAATGGCGAGGATGCTACTCAGTCGACCGACAAAATGAAAAAGCGAGTGAGCTTCGATGCTTCATCTTCAAAGGCTCCTGACGCAACCACTGGCGGGGAAATCGTTCCTGTGGCATCGGAGAGCCCGGAACCTACGCCGGAGGAACTTGGATTCCTGCGCTCTATTCGCAAGCCTGGAAGCGTCAACGGAATCAACGGCGTAAAGACGTCCACTGAGATGGTTGCCCGTCCGGAGATGGAATCCGTCCGTAGCAAAGATCTTCCCTCTGTTCCAGAAGACTCTGAGCATGCAGCCATTACCGACAGCTCCAGCAGACTTCACTTCGTTCCCGGCAGTGACCCCAAACCTGGCGAGTACTGGATGAAGCCATCCCGTGCCGAACTCAGTAAGATGAGCCGTGAAGACCTCAAGCATGTTGTTGGCTTCACTGTCGGCCGTCAACGCTGTGGTCAGGTGACTTTTGATGAGCCTGTCGATCTGACAACCATCGACCTCGACCAGATTTTTGGCGGGCTCGTGGAAATTGGCGTGCGTAAGATCACGGTGTACC